GCTCCAAGCTACTAGGTATGTGCCAAAAAGCAAGCCTGAAATTGATGAGCATAGCTAGAGAAGAGTTTTTTGTTTTTTGGTAGCTAGAGAAGAGTTTCCCCTTTGATGGCTATTAAATCTCCCAAGTGACTACAATAGGGGGTGATTCTCCTCAATCGTGAACATCTGAATGAACCCGAGTTGGTCTGGGTACCTGCTAGGCGCTTAGAAACTAAAAGAGATGAGATGCAGATGGGCAGGTTGTAGTCTAAATCTCTGAACTACTGGGTGCGTGTAACTCTTACTTTGTAAATGCAATATCGATCTTTGTGGGTTTCAAGCTTCATGTGGTGAAGCATGAGACACTAGACATAGCAGAACCGGATTGCCTTAGTGTTATAAGGTACGCAAGGAAAGAAAACATGCCTCTCTAGTAAGGACTTGCTATATTTTTTATGAGGTTTATAATATTCATAATTTGAGTATATTCCTTCCAAATTGTAGCAAGGGAAGCTAATGATGTGGCAGATGCCCTTGAAAGAAGTGACTGCTACAGGGTAGCCTTCTGGTGAAGGGTTTAATATCGGCTACAGAGATGTCTCCTTGTCATTGACTTGACATGTTTATTTTGGGGTCTTGTATTGTGATGGTTCTCTAATAAACTCTGGTAAATGATCCAAGGAAAGAAAACCAAAAACCCAAAGAAAATAACCCTAGATAATGGTAACCATATAGGCCACAACACAAGCATACACACAAACAAACAATGGGATGGAGCTAAGAGATAGAGACTCCCCTCCCCTTCCCCCATTCCAAAGACATCCACCACCACCTGCTTGCCAGCCAGTAACTATCAACACCAGCCACCACCATTTCCCAATCCCTCCATCGTCTCAATCCTCTTCAAAATCACTCTAAGAGCAAATGCGTCAGAATATGTATCCAATATTGAACCTCCGACCAGGCCAATGCTTGGGTTGCTGCAAGTGTGTTCTGGAAAGAGGAAAGCACCCATGTTCTCCTTGGTCGAAAGCCAAATCATTCTCTGAAGTTCTGCAATCTGATTCAAACCCAGTCTTCCCTGCTGTTCTTATCCTTCTCCACAGATTGTTGATAGCAAAAGTTGTATATCCCTTGACAAAAAAGAGGTTCAACACACAATGGACAAATTCAATAAACTGCTTGATGGGCTATTTCTTGGAGAGACATCCTTAGTGGAGCCTTATGGTTCAATGAATTTGACAAACCTTGAAGATAACTCATCACTTTGAAATCATTTCTAAAGGTAAATCTCATTCATTTTCAAGTTCACAAATTAGGATAATTTTGTTAAAATGGAAAGTGCGGGACCCTCGTTCACTGGCATCTGTTACATGCACTTTGAATAAAGGCAAACTTCCCCAGATTACAAACTCAAATAGATTCCCATAAGGCTGACTTACTAGATCAACATCAATACTGTTAATGACCCAAATCATTGGATTGTATTGCTGCTGCTATTGGGAAGCCAATATCCATGGATACTGCGACCAAGGAAAGCAATTAGCATGTGCTGGAGTCTGTTATAAAAATTTAACCTGGTTCATCTCTACAATGGTCGATTCTGATAATGAACTAAACACCCAAGTTTTCTCTATGGGTCATGAAGAAGCTTCCTGCACACACAAAGAGGTTCCAGTGAACCCTGTTGCAGAAATTTGAGAAAAACCAAAACAGACAAAGGAAAGGGAACAGATTCGATATGAGGGCAGGAATGGAGGTCTGTCAACCAGAAATACAAGAGCTCAAACGAATCCAAGAAAATAGTGAAACCTCTGTTTCCATGTCATCCTCACCTTTGCAATTTCAGCACTGGATGAAGTGCCGGAGTCACAGTTGAAAGAGGATTAACCTAAGGTGGCTATAAATAAACAGAGGCAAAAGAGCTCTCCTAGCAAAGAGAAAATCAAATCCAAGGAGAAGAACTAGATGGATTTGATGGGCTAAAGGAACTCAAAACATAGTAGAAATTTCCAGAGGTTGTGTTTGAAAATGTTACAGAGCAGCCACCAAAAAGTTGGAGGGCACTCCATTCCAGCAGGATAAGAGAAAGGAGTTACACTAAGAAAGCCCAAAAGATGGTGGAAAAACTTCCTTAGAGAACCATGAAATTTTCAGTGCAAAAAATTATCAATATATACAAAAGAAAACCAGTCCAAAAGTCTTGGGAAACAAGAAGAGGGAGTCTTTGCCAGGAAAATAGGAACAGATGAGAGTTTGCTTGAAAATCAGGAAGCAAATTTCATTAACAATCCAGTGCTGGAATCTCCTCTGTCAGCCACAGATGCCCTAAATCACTGGCCACCCGAAAACATCGGCTTCCCATTGGCTAGATCAAGCTTAGATCCAGATCCAGCCACCTCATTAGCCCTTTAAAACTTCAAATCTGATTCTTTCAACACATTGGATGGTTCAAATTTGGGATAAATGAGCAAGTATGTTTGGGGGGCAACGAATTTCAAAACAATTCCAGCCTGAGGTCAAATATTATACTCCGTAAAAGACCAAATTAAAGCACCAAAATAGTAAAGATATACAATAACACCACAAGATGCTACAAGCACCACCATGCTATATATAGAAATGGTAATGAATGCTACGAGTTCGTTGCGTATACCATTAGCACCTTTGAGGACGAAGAACAGTGTGCTACTCAGAGTTTAGCAACTGATGGCCCTCATCGCAAATGTGAAAACTCAGTCCATATGCTACCAAGAAGCACATACTACTAATAATAATGAACATGCTTTAAATATATGCCTAAAGAAAGACTAGGTAGCATATAAAAAATAAAAAGAGAAAAAGACAGAAAAAGATAAGAAGAAATGGAAGAGATATCCTTTGCAATAATACTGGCAGAATCCCTTTTATCCACAGATTTCCCCAAGCCCTGGCCCAAAGCTGGAAAAATTATATGGAAGGCTTCCACTGCTGCGCTTATATGGGTTATTTGGATAGAAAGGAATAATAGGATATTTCAGGGACTCTTCGACAGTGGCCTGCACTTCTCCACAAAGTCAAGACCTTGGTTACCTTTTGGGCAACCAATCACAAAGTCATCGCTGGTACACCTACAAACTTTTTTCTAAGCCACTGGGATAATATCCTATTTCATCAGCAGCGGAAAACTCAAAAATCCAATTACTGGCAACCACCTCCGAGGGGAACTATCAAACTTAATTTTGATGGTTGCTCAAAGGGCAATCCAGGCCCCGCTGGGGCCGGTGGAGTCTTCCGAGATCACGAGAGGAATATTTTACTTACGTCTGCCGAACCCCTAGGCCACACGGACTCACAACGTGCTGAAGCAATGGCACTGTTGATGGGGCTCAAGCTCTTAAACCCCTCTTGGGGATCTCACTTGATAGTTGAAGGGGACGCATACAATATTATTTCTTGGGCTTCTAGAAAGTCTACACCAACTTGGTACATAGCTTCGATCTTTGATGAGATTGAATTCATTTGCAGGGATATCAGCATCTCATGGAGGCATATCTTCAGGACGTCCAATGAGCTCGCACATCTCATGGCCAATGACGGAGCCGATCTTACAAACAGTCTTGGACCTCCTTGAAGTTAGCTGCAGATTTCCTCTCCCAGTTTTGCTCACCACTTGTATTCATGTTGTAAAAAAGGGTGTTTTACAAACCCTTTCACCATTTGGCTGTGCCAACTTTTTGATGTCACAGCACTGGACTGTTGTCCTTTCCTGTTGCTTCTGTAGAGGGATCACCTAGACCCGTCAGTGCTCCGGTAGGTCCCAAGTTTGTATGGGATGCTCCTAACACATGTACATACTACTTCTTTTTTAATGATACAGTTAACTTTATCAAAAAAGAAAATTAATAATAATAATACTACTGGCAGAATCTTGAAAGCCCCAAAAGCCCAAAAAAGTCAAAATCTAAATGACAAGCAAAGTAGTAGCACATCACAGAATCTCTTATGCTAGAGTATAGAGTTAGGCATCACGATACGAACTCTTGTACTCGTCCTCACATTTGGACAACAAACTATCGAGCAAATAGTCTTCGACCTGTTGTACATAATATTTGAGATTAATAACTGGGGGGCCGCCGGGGCAAACCCTACTAGCCTAGAGAGAAAATAATACAAAAAGTAACATTGAAATAACCAATAACCTTTGTTTTCATTCTCGTCACTAGACCCTGTGGCATTTCAAATCCAAAGAACAAAAATGTGATAATCACAAAAAGAAAAGGCCAGATCAAATTTAGTAGTTTTCACAAGTTTTAGTACTTCATGTCCAAAGAATTAAAACCAAAAGCAAAGCATCATCATAATCACAAATGAATGTCATTTTTTCCTTTTTTTTCTTCTTGTTTGTAAGTCCAAACAAAGAATAACATTTTTGTTTTCTTGATCATCTATAGAAGGAATGACATTACCCTAATTCTGAGCCTAAAAGCAAAAAAAAAAAGAAAGACAATCAAACTTATTACACAATCAGTTTCTGTTTTCCTTCCCCAGTTACACATTACTAGAAGTTAGAAGCACTATCAATATCAATATCAACTCACATCTAGGAAACCAGTTTCTTTTTTCTCCTTGTTAGTATACGCGGCTCACATTTTTCTATTCTGAGTGTAAAATATATGTACATATTTCTTTGAACGTATGAATGCAGGATATGTTAAAGTCAACTTCCACAAAGAAGAAAATCAATAGGCATATATACGAAGTTACGGCAGGACAAGAAGAAAATGCATTAGGTCAACCCAAAGTGAAAATTCGTTTCTTCTCTGATACCCCTTTACTACTATTAATATCATTGCTCAACTAAACAAAGAGAAAATAGAGAGGAATAAACAAATAATGAAAAATTCCACAGAGAACCAGAGAAACATATAGAGAGAGAGAGGGAGGGAGAGTGGTGGGGCATGGAAAGAAAGAGAAATGGGGAATAGGGTGGGTCAGAGAGAGAGAGAGGGTGGTGGGGCATGGATAGAGAGAGAGAGTACCTGAAGTAAGTGAAGGCGGGTATGGAAAGAGGAGGGCGGGAACAGGGGTTGCGGACGAGGAGGAGGAGAAGGAGGAGGAGGAGGAGGAGGAGATGGAGCTGAGAGGAGGCGGCCCTTCGTTCTACAGGCCGCATGGTACATGTGCCACAGTGTTCAGTCATTTTGCTTTGTGGATTTTTGAGCTTTGACCTCCGTTGGTGATTTGCCCGGTTTTGGAAGGAAATAACATCAACATTCCAGCGACCGCTGCACTGAGCCATGGTTGTTTTACTGCAGGGACCGGTGAAACGGATAGCTCGACGACGTAAGGATCGGGCGAATTCATGATACGGTAAATAAATAGCATTAATATGCTTTATTTTTGTTACGAGAAAAATGAAGCAATTTGGTACTTTAGCTGAGACTTTGAATTTTTTTTAATTTGATATAAATAAATTTGGTATTTATATATAAAAATAATAAAATATATCAAAATAATAAAAAAATTTAAAAACTTTAAAAATTAAAAAAAATGTTTATATATAGGTATTTTTTTCTGAACGAAGCTTTGGCCGAAGCAGATCGAATCACGCCGAAGCAACAGCACCACGTTTCTCTTTGCTTTGATTTATGCTTAATATCCGAAAGCTTCGGCCTCTTCGGCCGAAGCAAAGTGAATTTGATAACATTGATTATTATGCATCTGCCCCCCTCGATCAAAATACCTAGCAGAGTTGATTGTTTCAGTCTAAAATTTTGTGACCATTTAATAAGTATTAGATGATTATTTTTAAAAGAAAATTTTAAATTTTGAGTTTTGTAACATTATAGGACCAGTTTCTATGTGGGCAAGCCCATATATATGTAGAAATGCAGGCATCTTAATAAATCTATTTGTTGAGATGGATTTCAAGACTTAAGTTTTTAGGACATGTAATCTCTAATACGGAGATTATGAATATAAATAAATAAATTTTAAAAACTAAAAATAATAATTCTAGTAAGAAAACATTTGAATCATTAATTTCCATTGTGTTTGGATGAAACACTTACTTGCATCCATCTTTAAGATGGATGCTTTACACTTTCTGGACTGTATATGTAAAAATGCAGTTCAGCCTACATGAAACAAGTTTCCAACACTATATCAAGTCGTTCAAAAATTGGACTATCTCTCTTGAGGTATTTGTTTTTTCTACTACATATAAAGTTTATTTGTAAAATTGTTTCTAATATTATTTTATGGGTTGTCCCCAAATTTGACTTCTAAAAAGTATCCATAGCATATTTTGCCTAAAAGAGGAAATGGATAGTATATTCCCTCAGGAGGAGGAAATCTTTTAGAGGCCGTTTGGATACCTGAAAATATATTCCTAACGTAATACATTACTTGCAAATAGATTATGACTATTTGGGTAGTATTTAGATGCAACCTGGAAAATACATTGCTACGATTTAGCTATGTTTAGAAGAAATATAGAAAATGCATTACCAATATTTTACCAGCACTTGCCTATAAACTATAATTTCTTTCTTTCTTGTCACAAAATTCTATTGAAATGTAGAATTAAAGTTATCGTCCCACCATTCCAAAAAGATTTTCTAATAATAACATAATTTCCAATCCAAAAAGATTTTTTAATAATAACTTGTATCATTCTAAAGTCATCATCACACCATTTTCTACTTATTTTGCATGCCTCTTTGGCACTTATATGGAATCCCATATCTTCTAACATGACTAGACTTTGGTTTCAACATGATAAGTCATTGGAATATTATGATTGGATTAACATGTTCTTATTGTGATAGGTTTTATGTTTATTTATTTTTTATAGAAGTCTTTCAAATGTCTCTATATAATTTTAAATAAGCAATAAATTTATGATACCAAATTCAAAATCTTTATGGTACAAGTTAAAAAATGAGAAGAAGTTTGATTAGTAAACTAGAAAGTTTGATAATTACAGTAGAAATTTTGAGGCATTGGAGGAGACTAAAGAAGTAAGGCGTATTCACACCAAAATAACTGGTTAAAAAAAAGGTGCACCTTATGCAAATCAGGGTTTAAGAGATAGGAGGCGCGCTTAGAGAGGATGAAACATGCAAATCAGTTATTAGCGCTCAAGAGAGAGGGGATGGATTTAAAGAGGGAGTGAGCACTTATGCAAACCAGTTATTATAGCTTAAGAAGAGAGAGGGTAGAGCTTACCGTGAAAATACATTGTTACTGTTTGGGTAGTATTTAGAAACACTCTATGAAAATCCCGTGATTCATTGTTTGGGTAGTATTTAGATGCAACCTAGAAATACATTTTTACTATGTCTAGAATAAATATGGGAAATACATTACCAATATTTTATTTCTTCTTTTTTGGGTTTATACCCAAAACATAGTTGAGCGTGCAATCCCTATTAGTATGTAGCTCAAACTTTATAATTGCATCGGGCATAAGAATGAGCCACACCTTTTGTATGCCTTTGCGTCTTGACTTGGAATATTCAAGATGTTAACACTTTGGAATAACATATTTTTATTATGATAAGCCATCATGATTTTTATGTTTTTTTTCTTGTACTAAAGCGTATCAATCATCTCTCTCCATAAAACTTCCATAGGCAAATTCAAAAGAAAAAAAATAGTTTGGAGAAATTGACTAGTAACCAAGAATGTTATAATTGAGATGTATTGAACGAGAAATTACATTGAGGCATTGGAGGAGATTGAAGAGGTAAATTAATTTTAAAAAGTTTTGAAAAAAAAAATTGAAGCACACTGATTTCATGATTCTTTGTGAGCGAACTCAAGTATTTCAAATTTATCAGCAAACAATAGCAGCAAAAAAACAGAAAAAATAAAGCCAAAAAAATAAACATAATGATTTTAGAAGAGAACCCAAATCTTTTTTTTTTTTTTTTTTAACTAATATCTGTAACTGTGATTGCAGAACCCAAAAAATAATCTTAAATAGCTACATTCGTTTTATTAAATAAAGGTAGCTATTGGTTCTTGGTCGAAGAATATGGGCTACTGCGTTTTAGCTACTAGTTAGAAAACTATTTTTTTTTTTTTTCTTTCTTTGTGGTTTATTAAGATGAATTACGGGATTTTTTTTTTTTTTTCTTTCTTTGTGGTTTATTAGGAGATGAATTACAGGATTTTTGAGAAATGTGCCCAAAAGATTTCTCCCGATTACCCATCAAGGGCCTAATAGATTTTTCAACCTTCACAAGATCGTAATAGATTACTCCTTAAACGGTTGGAGAGGCATTTGAAGCTCAAATTTGAAGCAAATATCTCCAAAAACATCTAGTAGCAAAGGCTTGACAAAGATATCAGCTACTTGATTACGAGAGGAAACAAAACAAGTAATGAGTAATCCAAGAGTAACTTTTTCATGCACAAAATGATAGTCTAACTAAACGTGCTTTGTTTGTACATGAAAAATAAGATTAACTGTCATGTAGAGAGCACTACTATCATCACAAAAAAATGTTAGTGGCTGAAGAAGAGAAAACTCAATATCTCGAAGAATTTAAAAAAAAAACCATATCAATTATACAGTAGTGGATGTCATAGATCGGTATTCAGCTTCAACATTGGAACGAACCATAGTCGACTATTTTTTAATACTCCAAGATATGCAGTTGGAACCAATATAGGTACAGAAACTAATGGTTGGATACACAACCTAGTCCACGATATAGCTTAAGGGAACTAATAGATAAGATTCTTATACCATATAATTGTGTATTATTGATATAACGAAGAATCCGTTTAAATGCCTAAAAATATGCAATTATAAGGGCATGCATAAATTGACACATTATAGTAACACTATGGGAAAAGATTGATTCGGTTATGGTAATGTATTGGAGTGCACCAACAATGCTATTATAAAAAGATAGAGTAGAAATGGATCAGAATTCTCATTAATATTATTTTTCATTGCCATTAGTATTGAAATAATTTTGGCACCGAGCATCTGAGCACGATCAAGAAGATCCTTAGTATATTTGCTTTGTGAGATTTGTTTGTAGCATAGTATCGAAGATATGAAAAACACCAACAACCAAATACTCGAAGTGATGAGTAGTGTGGTAAGCGTCCAAATAATAATGAGTATGGTAAATCCATTTTTAAAATGGTAGAAAGAATTTTATTGATAACAAATATTATAGTATGAAGGGTTCAACCAAAAAACGTTTAGGAATTCATGTATGAAATATCATTGTAGGGCCTAATTCTACAATAATCTTATATTTCCTTTCAGCTATTCTATTTTTCTCAGGGGTTCCCAAACATGATAAATATTATATGATTTCATTGTTATTAAGATAATCAATATATTCTTTCTTAGCAAGCTCATCACCTCCATCACATTAAAAAACTCGAATTCTTTGATCAAACCTCCTTTCAATAAAATTTCTTAAATGCAGCGAAGAATTCAAATTTTAGTTTCAAATTATATGTCCAAGTAAAACGACGATAATCATCAACAATTACCACATAACTCTAATTAGATAAAATTCGAGCAGGACCCCACAAGTCTAAATAAATATTAAATAGAGGTTCAGTAGAGGTTTTATCAATACCACTAAAAAGAAGTTTATAATTTTTTCCCATCTGACAACTAGCACATACATAATGAGATTTATTACATGCATCAACATTAATCAACTATTTAGATTCTAAGTAACGAACAACTTTATTTTGTAGATGTCCAAGATATTGATGTCACGCGGCTTTTAATGTTCTTTTATTCCGAATAGATAATAGAGGTTGTTTCACTTCTTCAAGTGCATACAATCTTCCCATTCTACTCATGCTGGTTAGAGTCCTCCAAGTGCTCATTTCCTTAATCAAAAAACCATTTGATGAGAACTCAAAAATACAAGGGAAATTTTTGAGAGACACCTGAAAGATTTCTCTCAATTATTCTCCCGATTTCCCGTCAAGCACCTAATAGATTTTTTAACCTTCACGAAGGCGTAAAAGATTTCCTGATTTTTTTGGAAATTCTGGATCATCTTTCTCACTTCCTTATTATTAAAGTGT